GGGAGAGGGAGAAAAGATGAACATGTATTAAGAGGCAAAAATCCATAATAAAAGCACAAAAAAAAACTTATTCAGAAAAATGACACAACTGCCAAGTGTTCTGAAGATGTAATGGTCTAGAAGACCCAACACCGTCCGTTGACCATTGTTCCGTCCATTAAAAGATGGTAATACGACTAAAACCAATTGGTTTGTTTGTTAGTTTAAGTAAAGAGAAACACATCAACATAATAATGGTCATTTAGTACGGGGGGAAAAAGGAAGGAAGGTAAAGAAGTAGGACCTACCAGTGGCACCCTTCAACCACCCGTAATCCAATCGGATCACACAAAATATGAAAAAGCCAAATAACATAATTAATTTCCGAGCTGAAAATAATAAACACTCGTTAACTATTTTCTTTCAAACACTCGCCAACTATCTACAGGATGCACGTAATTTTCGCAAATAACGCGAAAACTCAACAAAAGAGAAAACAAGGCAAAATAATATGTGAGGCAGCGTGCTGGAATCAGGCTCTCGTCAAAATAATCAAAGTGAAGAAAATTGCATTATTCCGCAGGTTTGTGAATTTTAATCAAATTTTTGGTTTTTTGGCCATTAAAAAACTAATTTCTGGGTGGATTTTTCTGAAAAACGTTGATCAAAGGCACAAAAAAGTAAATTTTCCGTTACCACGGACTCTTTAAGCTAAGGAAATAACTAATCTTTGGCGATCATTTTCTCTCTAATTTTCCTTTTGAAAACAAGTGGTCTCCAAAAATTGCCAAACGTGAAGGGAGAAGAGAGTAGGGTTCTGCTATTTCATTCATTTTGACGAGCTCTGATTTCACAGCGATGCCACACCACACACAAAAAATAATCTTTAGTAGTAGTATAGGGTTTTACGGCGCTCGCAACTGCGTACGGTCATATGAGCACGCGAAACACAAGTTGTTTGCATTCGCAAAAGTTCACTGCACGATTGGTTAACTATTAGACTTTAAAATGCTCAAATATTTAAAATTCGGTGTAAATATATTTTCAATTTAAAACAACTCTTATAAATAACAATAAAAATTTTAAATAGTACGATTTCACTTTACAACTCGCCATAAAGGCCAATGGCCTTCACAAAATTCAAAATTCTGCTGGGACCAACAACAGAAAAAATGTCTTGCAATTTCTTACATTTATAATATTTCCTTCGGATCTCTCCAAAGTCCAGACATTCGGTTAAGATGTGTCTAACGGTAAAATCTGTGTCGCATCCGACACAGAACGGCTTCTCATCTCCCTGTAGGAGGTATTTGTGGGTCAGGGCCGTGTGTCCAATGCACAATCGAGTAAAAATGACTTCGTCTGTTCTGGAGAGGTCCGAAGGATTTCGCTGTTTCAGTTTGGGTTTTTTTATAACATATAGTTTATTGTTTTTGTGTTTTTCCCAGTGGCTCTCCCACAGACTGGTTAAATAATCTTTCTCCCCCGTGGACGGCCAACGGCTGGAAAAAACCAACCTTGTGCGGAACCTCCTCATGCTGTCCAGGATGTTGAACTGCTGCCAGTGCTTGGCAAAGTTGATGCTGCCCTCGGGGAGTTTGTCCTGGTTGCCGATGTTGATGAAGGTCAAGTCCTGCAGGATCAGTCCGCTAGGGAAAGGCAACACACACACATACATAAAGTCACTGGTGGACGATTGGACTGTTGGCTGTCGTGTCATGTTGGGGGTTTTTATTGAGGGAGGGAGAGAGGAAGAGGG